GGGTGGCGATCCGTTGCCGGACACGGAAAAAGACAAAAAGACAAAAAAAAAAAAAAAAAAATTTACCATTTTAATTGTGATAAATTGTGATAAAATACACATAACATAAAATTTACCATCCTAACTGTTTTCAAGTGTACAGCTCAATAGTGTTAAGTATATGCACATATATTATACACATAAGTATATACACACACATAGTTGTGCAGCTGACCTCCAGAATATAAGTGCATTTGATAAAGAAATGAATGAGCTCTGAGAGATGATGTATTAATAAGTGACTTTACTTTGCACCTAAAGGTGATATTTTTGTTCAAAACATGAACATTTACCTCACTAATAAAGAACTCTATCTTATTTTAGATTTTCAGCAATTATATTCATGGTTTTGGGTTTTGGGGGGTTTTCTTGTTTTTTGGTTTTTTGCTTTCTCCTAATAGGAGTGAGCTGAGTCGACAGAAACTTCATACCCAAGAGCTGCTTTCTCAGCTGGAAATGGCAAATGAAAAGATAGTTGAGGTAAGATAATGACTCCCCAGGGAAGCACTTTCTGCTGCAGCTTGATACGCATGTTATAGAATTTTACCTGAGCCAAATCCAAATTAATTCTCTACTTGGAAATAACCATACAGAAATCATCCATAACCTTAAAAGTTCACACATAATATAATGTGAATAAAAGCCTTGAAAGTCAGTGATCTATCACATGTAAATGATGAAAGGTAAAAGCTGTTCTTTCAGTTTCATCAGTATAACTTATGCAGTGTTTCAGAGAATGTGTTAAAATCCTCTTTATTCCTCTGTATCTCTAAGATTTATTTTAACCCATTCTTATTTAGTTTTAATCCATCACAAGACACATAGAAAATACTTTTCCTACTAGAATATATTAAAATATATTTAGCTTGATGTCTTACCTAAATATACTAAAAGTTCATCTTTTTTTTTTTTCCTTTGAGGCTTTAAAAAAGTAAATAATTTCTGGATTATAATTGGGGCTCTCTAGAACTCTAGATCTTCATTTGATGTTTTAACTCTGAATATGTTTGTAAGAATTTCATCAATAGGGTAATACGATTTACTCTCTCTTTATAGTCTACTATAGGAGCCATAATGAAATCATTACTCTCAAGTATCATGACCCTATAAATTGATATAAGCCATTTAGAAAATAATTAAGGACTAGCCATTAAAATACTCTGTAATGTAGCTCCCACTTCCAGAAATCTGTTCTAAGGAAGTAATTTAAAATATAAAAAAATGTAAAGAAAGATATTCAACACAGTAATGTTAATAATATTAGAAGGTCAAAAGCAACTAAAATGATGAGTTGAAAAGGAATGGTTGCATATATTATGACTTACCCATTATGAACTGTTCCTTAACCGTTATGGTAGCAGTATAGAAAAATGTGCATTATATGTAGTCTGATTATAAATATGAAAATGATTATTATAGATGGTGGAATTCCCTTCCCCACCCCCTGACAAGTTTTCTCTAATGTAGGATATGCCTCTTAAAATTTAAGACTACGTATTAAAACATCTTGATATATTGGAACAGCCAATGTAGTTCTATTCATAAAATTTAATTTTTCTTTTGCTTCCCCACCCCCTGACAAGTTTTCTCTAATGTAGGATATGCCTCTTAAAATTTAAGACTACATATTAAAACATCTTGATATATTGGAACAGCCAATGTAGTTCTATTCATAAAATTTAATTTTTCTTTTGAGCATAAGAAATATAATGAGCTCATTTTCACAAGATATTGTTATTTTGGGCCAGCCTCATGGCTCACTCGGGAGAGTGCAGCGCTGAGGCCGCGGGTTCAGATCCTATATAGGGATGGCCGGGGCGCTCACTGGCTGAGCGTGGTGTGGATGACACCAAGCCAAGGGTTGCAGTCCCCTTACCGGTCAGAAAAAAAAGAAACACAAGATATTGTTATTTCAATATTTTATATTATTAGGCATGACATTTGCTCTTACTACTCATTTGTTGGGATGAGGGAACTATCTAGTTTTTCACAGAAAATGTTTTTCTAGCTATTCTTGATTCGGCTTGTATTATTCTCCCAACTCAGAAAAGTGCCAGAAAAACTATATGACAATTCCAGTTGTACAAAAATATTTTTTTCAGATGCACTATAACCAGGCAAATAAGTATGGAGAGAGCTAATGCATTTTTTAATTGACAGATTATTTGAACTCATCTGCATGACAGTATGTTGTGACAGCTTTGTATTCATGATGCCTGTATGAGATGGTTCCTGCCATAACAAAGTATTGCAAACCAGGTGGCTTGAACAACAAAACATTATTGTCTCACAGTTTTGGAGGCTAGAAATCTGAAATTGAGGTGTCCACAGTGTTGGTCCCTTCCAAGGGCTGTGAGGTAGAAGCTGTTCCATGCCTCTCTCCTAGCTCTGGTAGCCTCAAGCATTCCTTGGCTTATAGATGGTGTTCTCTCTGTGTCTTCATATTGTCTTCCCTTTATATACATATCTATCTCTGTGCCCAAATTTCCCCTTTTTATAAAGACACTAATATGGATTATGGCCCACCCTAACGACTTCATCTTAACTTGATCATCTGCAAAGACTATTCCCAAATAAGGTCATATTCACAGATACTGGAGGTTAGGACTTCAGCATCTTTTGGGGGGACACAATTTAATCCATAACAATGCCTACTAACTCTATTGACCCTAATAGCCTCTCGAGTATGCAAATGTTTTGAAGAACACACAAAAACAGTTCATCCCAATCCTACTGAAGCTCTGGTTTTAAAGCCCAGTAGTCTGTGTTTTCATTAACTCTCTAGGTGATTCTAAAGCAGTGATCTAGCATCTCAAGGGTAACAGCTCAAAAACTGTAAGCTTTGTTTTTAACTTCTGATTCACTTTGCCTTGGATTTGTTCATTCAATTTCTTTGGGGGCATGGAGGGAAAAAAATAACGTACTAAAAATATAAAACCACTTAGAGATAATATTAGCTTTGTATTTTATAAATGGTAAAATGACATCCAGATTTTCCATTGGTTATACCACAAAACATCTCCATGTCACATACTGATTTCTAACTTGTTTTATATTTCCTCTTAACAGAATGAAAAGTTAATTCTAGAGCATCAAGAAAAAGCCAACAGACTTCAAAGGCGTCTAAGTCAGGCGGAACAGAGAGCTGCTTCCGCTTCCCAGCAGGTAGAGAGCATCCTCATTATCTTGAGAATAAACAGTCTGAGTAGATCAAAGATAAGAAAAGTTCCTCAGAAGTTCCCAGTAAACTAGTAGTTTTATTTTTTACTTGATTAACCTATTTAAAATTAGTCCCTTTAATATTTGAGGTTGAAAAAGTAAACTTTAGAAACAAAAATGAATATCAGTATCCTCCAATTGACACCTGCCTCTAAAACTGCACTTTTCAATATGGTAGCTCTTAGCCACAGGCAGCTATTTAAATTTAAATTAATTAAAATTAAATAAAATTAAAAATTGAGATTCTCAATCACACTAGCCAGATTTCAAGTACTGTATAGCCATATCTAGCTATGTGGATACAGAACATTTCTATGATCACAAAAAATTCTGTTAGACCACACTGCTCTAGAATTACATTCTGTCTAAGACTAGGCAGATATTCACTGACAGATTTGAAAATGGATAACATTGCTTTGAATGTAGTATTTCAAATTGCACTGCCTTTGTTTTTATTTTAGTTTTTAAATAGAAAAACTACTTGGCTTACAAGTTAACTTATTTGTATGTGACAAAGTAAATATAAAATACAATTTTATAAAAGTTGTCCAATGTGAAGTAGAGTAGAAAATGCATCAGTATAATACTAAGGGGTAATTTCTCATAACACACACATATAAATGAAATGGGCCATTTGTCCTTAAGTAGGCACAGTAGTCCCTCCTATTAAGAACAAAATGAGACTAGTTCAGTGATTATAAAGATAGGCTCGAAACAGACATCTGAATTGGGTACATAGATAAATAAATAGGGCAGGCAGACAGTAAAAACAAATGAAGTTTCTATATTATTAATTATATTTGGTTATTAATGTACTGTTTCAATCAAAATTAGTTATTATTAGCTACTACAGCATTTTATGTATAGTAAAACAACTCTACTCACTGAATTTATGTTCATGTTTATAGATGTTTTTTAAATCTACTTGTGGTATGAACATGGCACTTAAAATCCAATAATTATTTACCTTCCTATTCCCCTCCCTCTTGAAAGTAATTGTAGCCTGTCAAATAATTTTAATATCTTATGAAGTTAGTAATTAATTAATGGATTAACCAATTAATCATTTAAGAATTCATTTATTCATTTAGATTATTAAATAATAGGAGTCAAGGTGCACTAAGCAGTATCTTGGAGAGTATGTGTTTTGGTGTCAGGCAAATCGCCTCGTGCCATTAAGTAGCCATGTGACTTTGGGCAATTTCAACTTCTCTAATCCTGAATTTCCTCATGTTTAATGTGGAATAATAACACTTCCTTCTTATAGTTACTGAAAGGTGAAAAGAATTAACACGTGTAAAGCATTTAGCATAGTGGTAATATATAGAGATACTTAGATGGATATAGAAGAAATTAAATTTCTATATTACAACCCCTAAAGCTTCACATTTACCTTTATAAGGAATATGGTAAAGAAAATGCCTACTTAAAATCAACTACCTTGAGTTCTGTAGTAAAAAGGGTACAGTTACAGAACCTTAATTAGGTAATTCATTTGGCATCTAGTTTAGTTTTCCTCCTGACAGAATTAAACCTAAACAGTCCAACACTGACATTTCTTCTGTTATTTAAAATCTCCAGTGGAAAAGATTCTAATCTTCTTTTTGTGAGCCTTTTTAAAATGTTTTGTCAGTAACCACTTCACAAATTTTTAAGTAACAAATTTTTCCTTAAGCTTTTCACCTTCCAGTCTCTTGTTATTTGAAGATGGAAAGAAATCATTCAGCATTCTCCCCATATACAAGAAGGAATTTCTTCCCTAGAATTAATATTTTTTCTATTTTATATGAGTTCAAGTGATAATCTTTCTTTATAAGACATATATTCAGTTTTTTTCATCTTTATCCTTGCCTTTCTAATTTTCTCATTTTCCTCTGAAAACTGGAAATTGCTATTGGAAATAATATCCTACTAAGAGCATGGTATTTAATGACATAAAAGGAGTTAACAGATATTATTGTCTCTAACACATCATACTTACCATAGTGCAGCCCAGCGTCATGTTATTGGTTCAACACAAGCCCTAAATTGTGCTGATTCAATCATGCTCTAAATGTGCTATTCTGATTAACTTTGTCTATACATTCTCTAAATCTAAGTGTGCCACTCTAAACTGCTGAATGCCATACTATGTTCTTTTGACAATGTGACAGTTTTTAAAAGCAGTGTGGTGAAGCCTTTCTATGCAAGAACACAAAACCTAGAAGCTATGAAAAAAAAATTGATAAATGTGACCACATAAAATTTCAAATTTCTGCATCAAAAAGTCATAAAATCAATAATAAATGGAGAAAAATGTCTGTAACACATATGAGAAAAGTATGAGAAAAGTCTAATATCCTAAACACACATAAAAAATGCCTAAGTCAAAAAAGAAAAGTGGTACAATAGACAAATAAAGGACATTTACATAAAAGAAAAGGCAGACAGCTTTTAAACATTTAAAAAGGTGCTTATCCTCACCCATAAGACAAATACAAATTTAAACTGTAATCACATCATTTTTCACCTATCAGATCATGAAGTTTGATAATATATCGTGCTGGCACTTTCACACATCACTGATGTAAGGGTACATTGATACAATCTGTTTGGAGCCTAGTTTGGCAGTATCTTGCAAAAATTGTAAATGTACATAATCTTTGACCCATATTTGCACCTGGAAAAGTCTTTACAAGGAAGCAAACATGTAAAAATACTAATTACAGCATTGCCTCTAATTTTAAAATATTAAAAACTGTCCCCCCAAAAATATATTAAAAACTATCCAAATACCCAACAATAGGAGACCATTTAAGTTCTGGATTACCCATACGGGGAGTAGTTTACAGCTGTTAAGAGGAATATGGGGGATTTAATATGGAATTATTTCTAAGGTAAGTCATTTAGAAAAAAGAAAGATGAAAAGTGTATATGTTACTTTATTATTTTTAAATAAAAAGGAGTAAGGAAATATATACATATATTCTCATTTAGAATATTTCTAGAAATATACTTAACAACTGGAAATAATGGTTATATCTGGAGAGAGGGCTATGGAATGAAAGACAGCAATGGGAAGGAGACTTCCTTTATGGTGTTTGTATACTCTTTTGTACTGTTAAATCTTTTTTACCATGTATATACATTCCCAATTCCAATTAATATTTAAAGATTATTTTCCTATTGGACTTTTCTTACTATGATCTATCATCTTTTTAAAAATTTTTTTATTTATTTTGTGTGTGTGTGTGTGTGTGTGTGGTGGTTGGCCAGTTCAGGGATTGAATCCCGGACCTTGGTGTTACCAGCACCAGGCTCTAACCTACTGAGCTAACCGGCCAGCCCCTACCATCACCTTTTTATTTCCAGCCCCACATTGTGATAGCACACATTTAATGTGCACTTTAGACACTTTTCTGATTAACTTTCATCTAGATGTTTTTCATCTATCTGTGCAATATGTTTTGGAATTCTAAGTATATCACTCTGAGCTATGAAATGTTATAATTGACATGCATTTCTCCAACATAATACAGAAATTTTAAAGTCTCAAGAGTAAAATAGAAATGAATGCAAAAAAATGATCTCTTACAAGACTCCTTCCAGTAAAATTATTTTCAATAGTTGTAGGTTGTGATGCTTTGTACTTTGTATTAATCTGAGATTTCCGTAGAAAAAGTAACTATTTACTGATTGTTTATTTTAATTGCAGCTCAGTGTGATTACAGTGCAGAGAAGAAAAGCAGCCTCCATGATGAATCTGGAAAATATTTAAAAATATTCATAGTTCACTCACAGAACTTTAGAGTTGGGAAAGCTGTTGGACTAAAAGTGTATTGAAATGGTAAAGCCTGCAGAGAATGGTTAAAGCTTCTGTCATTTTGCATAAGCATTTTCCATTCTGTTTTGAGGGTTATTGGAAAACAGAACAGTGACAGCTTCCTGTAAGTAAAGAAAATATAATCCTATATTGAGCTTCAGTGGAGAATAAAGCCAGCTGAGAAGAACTCATTGCCTTCATCGAAGTGTCTATTTTTTAATTCCCCTTTTTCCCTAAGAAAATATAATCCTATATTGAGCTTCAGTGGAGAATAAAGCCAGCTGAGAAGAACTCATTTCATTCATCGAAGTGTCTATTTTTTAATTCCCCTTTTTCCCTGGAAGACCATAATAATTTTCAAACTCTGCTAATCATGAGAAAGAGGTTTTAAGAAAATTCTAGAATTTAATATTTCAGGTTCCAGGATTTGATAATTTTACATCCAATTGTTACTCCTAACTTTTTTTTTAAGTTCTTAAGTATTTGTTTTATTATGAACTCATAATGTAATAAATTGTGCACTTTTCTAAAATAATGCTGTCATGTATTTTAATGTATAATTGTACTGATTCATTTTTAACTTACATGGTTTCTAGTATTTATAGAACTAAATATTTAAGAACTTGGGAGGATTTTATACATATTATTCAAAGTAGTACTAATCAAATGGAGATCTTAGATTCTGAGAGTGCATGGCATTGAACTATTGCAGTCCTATGGATCGTCAGAGATCTGTGTAGTTATTCTGTGCTCCTGGTTCGAACTTTGTGCATCCTGGTTTCCTATGATTAGAGCAGATAGATTTACATCTGGGTAACCAGTTAGTAGACTGTTGCATTGTCCAAATAAAAGATAATGAGTTTGAGTTGGAAGTGCATGAAGACATTCATGTGTAGACATTCAACCATCAGTTGAGGTTTAAGACTGGTGCTAACCAATAGGGATAGCCACGAGTCTTTCACATGGAGCTGAGAACTGGAGCCATGCAAGTGTAGGAACTTGCACTGGGGTCTTACATGATGTGGCCAGCTGCCTCTTGAGCTCTTCCCGTACTACTCGTCCCCTCCATCTCTTGTGCTCTAGACTTGATGGACTTCTTTTACTTTTGTCAATGCATCATCCTCCCTTCCAGCACAGGGTCTCTACATATACTTTTCCAAGTGTATATTCTTCAGATCTACTCAAACATCACTTCCTCAGAGGAGCCCTCCTTAGCCTCCAGACTAGGTTAGGTCCCCTTGTTATATTGCTGTTAACCGTGTGCTGTATTTTTCCTTCATAGAGCTGATCAAAATTTATAATAAACTTTTTAAATTTTTTTCTTTAATGTCATCTCCCCAACAAACTACGGAATCATATCTACTCTCATTCATCATTGTATCCTTAGCACCCAGCATAGTTGCTTGCACATGGAGGGTATTCAATAACTGTTTGTTCAAAAACTGAGTTTTTAAGGAAAGGACCTTCGGAATGTCCTCTTTGTTGAATGAGCTCAGGAAGAGGAGCTATTGAAGGAGACTGAACAGGAGCAATGAAAGGATCATAACAAAGAGAATCCAACATGATAACAAATTCAAGGAGGGGGCAGATGGTTGCTAGTGTCAAATGCAGTGATGAGATCAAATAGTACAAATATGGCAGCGAAATGGTCATCAGACAGGAGGCTTATTTCAGTTTTTTAAAGAATTTTCCATTTGATTCTCCAAAGTGAATTTCTTCCCATGTTATTCACAGACTAAATTCCATGTCATAAGAATTATGTTCATATTCATGTTTATAGAATAGGGAATTTATTTTTTAAAATTTTTAATTAGAGAAGATGTTAGAATCATGTCTAACAAAAAAAAAAAAAAACTGTAGAAGAAAGCCCTTTGGAAACTAATATCCTAGACAAATATAAATATTATTGTTATCCATTTTCAAAAAGAAATCTAACCTTCCAGACTATTACTTCAAAGTAAAATCTCTGAGTAGACACTTTCTTCAAATTTGACGATAGGCAACTTCTCTTTACACTCTAATATTAACCCTTCTCGAGTGGGATCTCCTCCATCTAAGAGGACAGGCTTCTAATGCGCAGATAATATGCCTTTCTGACCTCTGTTGAAGTTGAACAGACTTAAGCTATATTTAGCAACAGAACTGAACATTATGGTTATTTTTTCTTTCAGAAAAGTTTGTTAGTTAATAATTTCTAGTGTAAAAACATGGCAAAGTTTTTAACATTTCTCATATTGGCCAGTCTTGACTTTATTTACACAGACAGTATCATTTACTCTCTAAGCTGTGTTTTAGAAGACAAGAAATGAGTAGGAAAGAGAGAAAGAAATTATATAAATCTGAAATTGAGAACAACACAGCTAGTTCCTTTTATTTATTCATTTTTACTGTGTCTCCCTGAGAAAAAAAAGGAGATATGATTACCTCTTCTTCCTTTTGTACAGAAATATGCAAATTGGGCAGCCAACAATCTTCTAATTTTGCCTCTGGCGTGAGAACTATAACTACACCAAATACGGGAGAACGTTAGCAACAATTCAGTCATTCATTTATTCAGCAAATATTGGATATTTCATAGCTGCATAACCCTCGGTCAAATCAAGAAGAGTGAAAAGCGCTTTAAACATATTGCTATAAATTTTGTTATTTAACCATAATGTGTTTTATCATTTTTTCCAAAATAACAAATCCGTAATGAGCTTTTTTGCAAAGATTTTTGTCAAAAATAATTAAATTTATTTAGTTTACCTAAAAATGTATATATACATACAGATATGGAGAGAGAGAGACAGAAAAACTGCAATACCCTAATGTTACTTATAAAACCTGTCCCTTACCAACCCTTAAAACATAAATGTATGGCTTTTGTGACAATATGCATGCTCTTAGTCAAGAAAGAAAAATAAATATTTATGTTTATATAACAAAAGTCACAGGATGGAAAAGTGTCTTTAATTTTTTATAACATTAGCACCCGCTAGCCCAAGAATTCACCACAAAATATACACATGTGCCTCACATTCCCTAAGGCGCTCCCACTGTGCAAGCTGCAATCACGCTCGTCTCTTCCGCTCAGAAAGTATATTAGGATGTAAGCAAATGAGAATGACATGAGAGAGTTTTGAATCTGTTCTATTGTATTTCTTTTTAAATACACATTTTTAAAGCACAGTACTTTACTTTCAGCAATAAATTACTTTTGATATTGTGCACAGCTGTTGAAATCCACCAAGGGATAGCTCACTTCCCCTTGAGATGGCCCAATCTCTTTCCAACAGACTTGACCATTATAAAGTTCTTCCTTACATAGAACTGAAATGTCTTCTAGCCATAGTTCTACTTTGTGCAACAGAGTAAATCTAAACCATCTTCCACATGAGTTAATGACTCATGGAAATGTACATATGTAATATTTCTCATTAGTGTTTAGCATGAGAAAAAATGAGAATCACTATTCTAGTCTACACTTCCATTAATGCAGCTTAAAAATCATGCTAGCTTTTTTTTGGTGGGGGGGTGTTGAATCGCAGCGTTGGACAGATATTGAGCATATTGTCAACTAAAATACTAAGTCTTTTTCAGAGGTTTTGTTGCTAAGCCAAATCTTTGCCCCAGAAATGGAACGGGTCATTTATCCCTATTATATTTGATTACTGAGGTCATTTTAGCTCCTGATTCTGTCAAGTTTGTTAGCTCTAAGCATAGGGATCATGTCTGTTTTATTTTGTTTTAATGCTATATTTCTTGTACCTCAGATAATTTTTTGATTTACAATGAATGCTATCTACAGATTTGATAAACACGCTACCCATGTTTTCATGCATAGATGAAGAGGACCAGACAGATCTGAGTACAGACAGTCTCAGAGCATAACAACTCCCTTAAAGAGTAACTTATCAGCACCAGTCAGATATGGTCATTCAACCTGTTTTTAGTCTGGCCCATATTTTTGTTTGTACACTATCTTAAGAACATCAGGACCTAGCCTTCTGCCTCGCAAAAGTTCATTTATGCCATGCTAGTCATATTTCCCAGATCTAATCTAGTAATTCTGTCCAAAAAGAAAATTAAGTTAATCTCCTTAGTAAATCCATATAGCCTCCTAGTAATCACCACATGTTCCTTTTCTGTTTATTAAAACTCTTTATTTCCTTTGATAAGGAATGATGGAAATTTCCATTTAATATTTTCATTCAATGGCAGTACAGTCCTTTTTTCAAAAAATAAAAAAGGCTTCAGAGCATATGATGTATAAGGAAATCTGTCAGCACTTAGATCTGTGAAGATTAAAAATATGAGACTAGTATCTCCTTTTATATAAACTATTCTAGAGGATAAAAGAAAATGAGAGAAGGGCTCGGTAGTTAGCTCAGTTGGTTAGAGCATGGTGCTGATAACATCAAGGTCCAGGGATTAATCTCTGTACCAGCCAGCTGCCAAAAAAAGGAAAAAAAAGAAAAAGAAAATGAGAAGAGTTATAATCACAATTCTACAAATAACCAATAGAATCCATTGGAGAATCTTGCCATGGATCTACGATAATCATGCTGACATATATTAATAGTGTCTATTTAGTAAGCAACTAATATGTGCTAGGCAAAGTGTGCTAGCATTTTGAGTTTATTATCTCATATAATTCAACAGCCCTGCTAGGTAGGTATTATCATTTCCTTTCCAAAGATAAAAGGTATGAGAAAAGTTAAATGATTCACCCAGGGTCACAGCGCTGGCAAGTGGCACAGCTGGGTTTCAAACCACATCTATTCAACATCAGAATTCCTCCTACTGAGCAACACTGTATCTTTAGAGTTTGCAGAATTGTATTTTTGACACCTCTCTCATTTGCTGACAGTGATTCAGCAGTAGCCTTTATAGGTTCTCTTGAGTGCCCTGGGATGTAATTCATCTGGGTCAGTAGGCTTGCACTCACCGTAAACAGCTAGATGCTTTGTACGTCTTGGACTTCAGGTGACTCTTACCAGTGTCCATTCTCTTCCTCAGTTCAAGGACCAGTGTTCTTGATGGAAAATACAAGTGCAAAATAGGATTTGAAAAATTCTACCTCTACTTTTTCCTTCCCTTTTTTTGCCCTTTCTGACTCTGACCCTAACTCAAAAAGCCTTTTGATTGTCAAATAATACGTATACCTAGAAAATTTCCTAGAAAAAGCATCTTCGTATCTAATGAGATTCGGTAATTTTTCCAAACCTAGAAAAGTATTGGCCATAA